ACTACGTTAGATCCAATTACCAGGCTTACAGACAAGAGACCTCGCCTAATGTCGCGACCAGTGACTTGCAACCGGTATGATTTTTGATACCGGCGTTACGTCAACACCGAAGAGAGCTACACCGAAACTAATATATCATCGAAAGCCCAAATAAATATAGGTATCGTTTCAACTTTTTTATTGCGCAACAACAACGTATGTATTTGCAAACACGTTACAAGCTGATAATTACTCCAGTTTTCGACGTTGTGACAGCGATTTTGATATCGCGCGCAAGTAAAAGTGTTTATCTGCGTGTAAAAATAAATTTTGAAAATTGCAATGAAATAGAAAAAAAAAACAAAAAAAAAATAAACAAACAAAACTGAGGATAAGTTTCGTATAACGGGATTATTATATCGTATCGGTATTCTCGTAATTCGGTTTTGCACGAGTCACAAAAGTATAAACCAACAGTGCCTATATATATATATATATAGCTTTAAAAACTGCAATACGGTCAAGAATATGCGATTCAAAGGACACTGAACTTTGAACGACATTAATATAATACACCAGAAACGACACTGGGAACAATATACATGCACCAATATTTTTTTTTTTAGTTAATACGATTCCAAATAGCGTGTTCCACTTTCTTTCCTATACCATAATCACATCTTGTGCCTGCTATACGTACATATATATATTCTATTTTAATTTTCTGTTAAGAATTGTTGAACAAATCACGTAATTTTCGTAATGATCATAGTTTAATATTTATAGACATTCGTAATGTTAAAAAAGTTAAAACCTATTGAATATACATCTATTTACATATTACGTACATATGACATTTATGACATTGAAAATGTGATATGCAAATTTAATTCACGTACCCGTATTTTCTACAGAGTAAAAAATAGATAAGCTCTCGCAGCGTAATTTGGAAAAGTAACGAATTCACAAAAGACTAAATTTCGTTTTGAAGAATGAACAATCTTCAAATAGTCTTCATAGTTTAGAAAAGTTTCACTTCGAAGAAAGTTTCGCTGAACTTCGGATGTATATGGTAACAGTACATCGTATGATCGCGTTTGTAGGTAAGTGAGGTTAGGTTTGAGCCTGGATCAGAATGTTAGATTAGATTTGTAATTAACGTACATATACGCGCAAATAGCAAACTGAAAACTGTCATTTTTTGATTCTACATATTGTTTTGCAATAAAATTTAATCAAATAAAATATTAATTAAATGCACTCAAAGCTGCATGAAAGTGCTATGAAATTGCTCTCTTATTACAGAAATCTCTAGGAAACGAAAAAATATTTCTTTTGTTTCATATGAAATAGACAGAACACATAAAATAAAACGGATGATAGACACCCGTATTCAAATGGTATGTTTGTGCTAACTATAACTTGACGCACTTAACTAAAAAACTTGCATACCTATTTTTGATTACGACCTATGCGGGTATAGTGATAAAAAGATGAAAAATGCATCTTGCATTGGAAATTCACCGCTATATTTTCGTGATATGCATATTACTTTCACACATATATATATATATATATATATAAATTATGCATACTTTAATACATTAAATATTATGCAAAGAAATAATGTCATTTCGAATTTATAAAATAACTGGATTTAGAATATTTAGACATTAAATTATACTATATATTGTAAGAATAGTAAACCTTTTGGGAATTACGAAAATTAATCAATTTTTATTTTAATTTTTAATAAAGTTACACGTATCTCTAAATTATTCTGTGATAAGATCAACAAATCAAATAGTCGAAATTCATGACAATTTGATTGAGTAAATAGTATAAAATTTTCTATTACATTACAGAAATATAATTTTCATAACTACATTGTATTATAATTTTCTAGTATATAATTTGTTTTATTCATTGTTGCTCAAAATCATTCCTATATATACTGTACGTATATTGAATTAACAAATAATTTTCAAGTAAAAAGTACATTTTCAGCTGAAATTTCTATAAGCTATACACGGATCAGACAAAGGAATCGACAATTGTGCAATTTCTGAAAGAAAATTGTTTGAAAGAATGCGTTCGGAGCTGGAAACATTTAAAATTATATCAGATACATGAAAAAACGATACGCTAAAAATAAATATTAATCCAAAAGTTTTCAACTAAGATGAATGTGATTTTCGAATTGCACCATTTTGCTAACGTCATACTGTGTCCATGAAACGCAAATACTGCGTTTTAGCTATATGTCTTTCAGTCGTGTAGGATTGTGTCGCCAAGGAGGGAACAAAGCTTCTTTTTGTCACTCATTCTCGAAATACACACGCTGCACTACTACTGCACGAATGTCCAAATTTTAGATAATCAACGAAACAACTATCTAGGTCTTATAGTCTGTGAATAACCGAATTCGACAATGATAAAAGAAGAGAAAACTGTTTAAAAATCTCACGTGTCGAACAGAAGAAACCTCACACCTATTACCCAGCATCAATTTAAGGTGAAACCGTTTAAATTCGTTTCTTAGTCATCTAGCCAAGCCCCTGACGAAGATGGCCTCTCGTGGAACAATAACATAACTATAAAGCAAAATACGGGAATGAAGACTCAGCGAGTGAAATTCGACGTTTCGAGAATCGACTAGGAAATCGACCGGCGGATTAAACACCGGCCGGCATCCGTTCCAAATTTAAGTTTTCCGTAGATGATTCATGGTGGACGTGATCAACGTACCTTAGAGAACGCTCTCGCTGGCACGACGTGCTTCCGATTATTACGCGAAACTTAACAGAGGTTTTGCATCGACCCACGTCTCGGATGTAGCAGCCGCCTGGGCTTAATATCAGAATACGCACTGTACACAAATTTGGGTGCTTTCACACGATAAAAACAATCGAAGTAGGATGAGAGATGAAGCACATTTGCAATCGTCCGGGGCTCGAAACCAACTGCCGGAACTCCCCTCCAGTCGACCCACGCGGCATGCCGCGCTATTGGTCGACGTCCACATACCCGCGCGCCAATCCAAACGCATTACGACTCTCCTACCCAATCGCACCTATTTACGACAATTCCAGATACTTCGACTGCCTGGCGGTAAATTTGACACTGCGAATTTCCCGCACGTATCAGTACCGCCAATTATCGGCAATAATTCCGGAAATTCTCAAAATGTTCCAACGACATGATAATTGCCTCGTCCGAATTTGTTTTTTTTAATGATTTCTTAAAAAGAAAAAGAGGGAAAGACGGAGAAAGAGATGAAAAAATAATTAAAAAAAAACAGATACAAACATCAACCAACGATTTAGTTCTGTAGAAATTTGCAAATAGAAATAAAAGTGATATTGGTGTTATAACGATGTGTAATATCGATATCTGCTGGATATATCAAGAAATTGATATACGTCGATCCTCAACTAATGCATTTTCACTAAACATTATCAATTAATTACCGTAATTATTGCGAAAGCGTAATTATTTTCCCTATGATTATGCTAACGAATTAACAGGGCCAAATTAAATATTGGGCAAATTTAGTGAGAACATAGTAAGAGTAAAACGACCTTGCGACTGCATGCTCAGATAAATTTAGATAGATGGAAAAAGAGGGGCGTGGTATAGTGAATAAGTGTACGCATACATGAACGGCGTACGTGGCTTCTTTGGCACGTATGTAAGTGTCGTAAAGCCCTCCTTTTTTAATATCGTGCTGTACTTTGAAGAAAACATTCGGTAACATTTTCCTACAGCACATGCACAAAAACATTTAACGTTTCGTTCTCTTCAAACACAACCGTGTGTAAAATTTCGTATACAGGATACGTCAAAATTATTAACTAACGCCTACGTACTTAAAATTATTTATTTAATATTAAATAATTTATTTAATATTAAAAAAACATCTTGAAGAGATAATATGCATGTATAATACGTTGTATCTGAGAAAAAAAAGCAAGATAAAATATAAATGTTCTTTCCGTTTAAGCGTTAATATAGTTTAGATGTCACATATATACGTATATAGATGTATAAAATGATGGCACGATTAGTGCTGCTAAAAGAGAGTGACTAAATGGCGTTTTACATGTTCATGTATCAATTCAGTCGTTCTTGATTCGTTCTTTCAATTATTTCATTGCTTTATTTCATTGTCTTGATACTTCTTTTACAATAAATATATATCTGATTCTGTACAACAAGATAAGGATATTTATACCTATATCGTCTAAGTTGAGGGAAGATTCAGGACCGCGAGCGACCTCCGACTAAATTGTTCAGTTTCTTCATCTAATCGTAGTTAGAAAGCATTTCAACATTTCTTTCTATTAACTCGGTAATTAGAAACTGAATTTATAATGAAAAAAAAAAAACTCGCGTTTGTTCGTTTGCTACGAGATTAAGAAAACATTGTTTTCTACTTATTATTTCTATATATCAACTAATCTTATGTTTTTTTTTTTTAAAGGTGCGACATCTTTTGAAACAAAGAGCCTGGACGACTATTCCGAAGAATAAATTACGAGCAATTAGGACGCAATATCATCTTGTCAGTTTTTTTTCAGACTGAGCACTTCTCGATGCAAATATCAAAGAAGTTGTGGAAGTTCAATGGGAAATTGAGTTGGTAGGAAGTAAGGAAGGTAGGGATAAAGAAGACTCTGTAGACTAGGGAGAAGGCTGGCAATTTTGCCAGGCGGATGACAATCAGTGCAGGAAGTGCAGTGACTGGCACAAGGTGGTGAAAGCCGAAGTGCAGCGGAAAGTGGGCCGGGTTCCTAGGCGATAGAAAGAACGGGCAACAGCAGCTCTCGCACGTCCCACGTTTGACATTCATATTTATGAGCTGGCAAGGGTATAGGTATTATCAGACAATTGATCCAAATCCGGTCTGGCCCGGACTAAATTTGACACTTAAAAGCGGCTTCTATCATTAGTTTACACGGTTTACACCGAACGCTGTCATTGATTACAGAGCGTCGAACTTTGCACAAGAGCTTTGTCGTCGGCTATTGAAAGACAAGAAAACTATAAAACGGGGAACCGAAACGAGTGAAGTGAGATGCCTGTTCTGCTGGAAATTCTTTCGAGAAGGTTGGTAAATTGGATACCATTCCTGGAATTCACCGTTTCAAATTATTCCAATATAAAGTAATAACAAATTAATTTCTTTTTTCAACGTAAGTTCTTATAATCATGCTTTCATCTGTTCAAGCGTAATTGGCGATATGCGAACAACTTTCTCCTTTATTTAACAAGAATTTTGCATTATTCATTATTATTGAGCTGCTTAACGATACTTATGGTTTGATGAAACTGGACTTGTCCGAAATCGTTGCTACTAAAGTGTTTCCAGTTTCGAAAATACAACGATCGACAGTGATATTCGACCCCTCTTCTAGACGCTTTCATCGGATTACCTAAAAACTTTCGACGCCGTGAGAAATGTTGCAGTGTTATCAGAAAATTGACAGACAGATTTCTTCTACGATTTAAAGTAAATCTATGCTTTTTTTCTCTTTTAAACTGTTTAGGCGCAAAAGTCTCCAATTTCCAATCATTCTGCATAGCTGTTGATGTTTTAAAATTATTACACATCGATTATACTCGTATCAGTCTTTTGCACGAATTGCAAAAATTTAATTCCTCCTCTTTTAGCCACATTCGATGTAATATATCTTTAATATAAATTCGACAGGATCTGTCTCAAACCAATGGACGATACGTAAAAATTAAGTAAAAAAATATCTTCGTCCTTCAATCTCGAAGTTACGTTAGAAAAACTTCTGTTTCGCGCATCATTCTTTTTTAATACCGTAGAAAAGAGTCAAGTTGAATTAACATGTTCCTCGCATGAAAACGAGCCATCAAATTCCACTTGAATTTCTCAGTCTGCACGCTGTTCGTCTCAATTGAAATTGTTTGCACAATTAATCGTAGACACCGTTAATCACGCGCAGTGCGCGAATTTGAATTTGAAATTTGCAACAGGAAAAAGACATTTTGATTCTTTGAACGATTTAAAAAAAAAAAAAAAAAAAAAAAAAAAAAAAGAACGAACTCGAATTGTACAATTCGCTTCAGAAGCTCGAGAAGTCGTAGACCGACACAAAACTCAAAAAGATGAACTTGCCGAAAAGTAGCACGCATCTCGCGATTCGATAAGAGACGGCTCCCTGATAGAAACGCGTTTTACTTTGTAGTTGACACTTACTGTTTGCCTGCAGCGAGGGTGTAGAATCGTCATAGTCCACGAGGGGGCCAGCTTCGTCAACGACGTCCTCCTGCGTGCCGTCCACTTGCTCATCATTTTTCACTCTCGTTTCTTCGTTGCCCGTTCTCTCCCCGGGCAGTTCGCAAATTTCGTTAGTCATTTTCTCACGAATTACCACGTGCACGTTCTTTGGGATATCATCCTGGATCTGGACCTGGTCGGACAACGCTTGAGCATCGTTGCGTACGTTGTCGTTATTATCGTCGCGGTTACGGTCGTGCTCGTTGTCATCGTCATCGTCGTCGTCGTCGTCGTCATCGTCGTCGTTGTCCTCGTCCTCGTCATCGTCATCGTCGTCCTCGTCCTCCTCCTCCTCCTCGTCCACGTCGTCGTCGTCGTCCTCGTCGCGCTCGCGCAAATTACTATCCGCGATCGGTTCGTTTGGCGTTACGTCGATATTAGCGTTCAGATTAGCGTCCGTCGACTCGTCGACGTGCATGTTGTCGAGTACGTTCGAACCTTTGTCAAGCTGTTGTTTTTCGTCGTTGCGAGCGTCGTTTTCGTCACCGTCCTTGTAAAATTCGTAGGAGAGATTCTTAACCGGGATGGTAGCAACGTCGTCAATGGCGTCTACGTTGGTCTCGGGACCCAAGTCGGAATAATCGTAATCGGCGTCGCCGTTCTCGTGCTTGCCGTTGCTGGCCGCGAGGATGCCGCCAGCGTCGTCGTGGTCGCGCGCTTCCTGAGAGATCATCGTCTGCTTCAGGATGTTCGAGTTGATCGCGTTGTGCGCGTCGTCGATGTCCAGGAAAAGCGGTTTGTCCTTGGAGTTCATTTTCTCGAGTATATCATTCACTTGTAAACGGTGGTACGGATTGGCGTACAGAGGCCTGGCTGCGATCGCGCTGGCTGGTGTTAACAGGACCACGATCACGGTGATGTTGTCCTCCGAACCTGCGTGCTTCGCCCACTGCAGCAGCACCTGGTACGCGTGTTTAAATCCGTCTGCAACGTGAACAAATGACCTACTCGTTAGCTCGACCGTCTTCCAGTCAATTGTTTAATCATATGAACTAATTGTACAATAAGTCTTATCTGCTAATTTGCTAATAAAAGTGTTTCTCATCATACTTTATTTCATCGTCATGTTAACCTCCTGCGCTGGAACGACGTGCACGTCGAGAATATTTTGTCCCAATAGTTTTCTCAATTTTGAGTATACTTAAGTGTAACCCAGGCAAAACGAATAATAAATTTATTACTTCTCAATAATTTCTATCCGACGAGTTCAAAAAGAAAGCGACGAATTATTGTATACGGTTTGGTCGCTCGTTATGGTCCGCAATCAGTTGCCAGCGCAACGTGGTTAAAAAAGAGATGCAATCGTAAAAGAATTCATATGCGTATGTGTGATACGATTAAACTGGAAACTGGAAAGTTCTTGACGAGTCGTCTTCAACGATCGAAAGTCGTTTGAATCGTTCGAAATTTGAATCATTATTGTTAAATATATATTCATGATTGCTTGTCATTACCGTATTAAATAAAACTATCGATTAGTCATCGCCTGTAGTAACATTTTTCGCTGAAACGTACGTGTTGTGACTGAGAAAGAATTTTCTACGATGACGAAGTAAGAAAAGAACTCGATCCGTTTTGCGGATAAAAAGAGGACATTGAACAAAAAAACGGGAAGTCGACCCAATAGTCTAGATGCTATTGTTTAATTGCGACATCCGTAGCACAGTAACAAAAAAAAAAAAAAAAAAAAAAAAAAAAAAAGTGAACTGAATTAAATCTAAGCTAAAGAAAAACCAAACTAAATTAAATCTGAGTTTTATGACGAAGGGACAAAGGAACAAGTAAATATCAACATCGACGAAATTTCAGGAATTAAATCGAATTTAGTTCAATATCGTGAAAATAATCTGGTTCTGTGACTAATCATTTACTCTCCAGCCGTGAAAGTATATATCCCGCCAAATGTGCATTCCTGAATGCAAGTGCATTGACCTACGCGTAGCCATGTCTGCGTAGCTCTCCTTTCCACCCTTTCTTCAGCCCAGCGTGTTTCTTCTATTTTTTCCCCTACCGACGGATTTCGAGTTTTCGTTTGCGTCGGTCCTCACCGCGACAGAAAGCATTCATCGTCATTCACTCCTTCTCACGTCATTAATTCTTCTTCGGTCTGCATTTCAAGCGTATCGTCCCCATTTGGCCAACTTTTCTCCTTTTTTATCGTATTCACTCCCTCCGTTTTAAAGTGTCAAATATCGGAAGTAATTTAAACTTTACGCCCAATGAATCGAGGGAGGAAAAAATGAAAGCGACCTAAGAGCGTAGTTTACTAACAATCGTTCGCCCAGAAAGAAATTTATTTTTCTTTTCTTTCTTGTTTTTCTAATTTTCATTATTTTTCGTTATTTTTCATTATAGTATTATTCATTATTTTTTATTATAGTCGCATGAATCAGTTGTGTGGGTTATTAGTGACTTGGAACTAAACCTTACTTTACGCCCAATGGATCGGGGGAGGGAAAAATGAAAGCGACCTCATACGAGCGTAGTTTACTAACAATCGTTCGCCCAGAAAGAAATTTATTTTTCTTTTCTTTCTTTTTTTTCTAATTTTCATTATTTTTCGTTATTTTTCATTATAGTATTATTCATTATTTTTCATTATAGTCGCATGAATTAGTTGTGTGGGTTATTAGTGACTTGGAACTAAACCTTACTTTACGCCCAATGGATCGGGGGAGGGAAAAATGAAAGCGACCTCATACGAGCGTAGTTTACTAACAATCGTTCGCCCAGAAAGAAATTTATTTTTCTTTTCTTTCTTTTTTTTCTAATTTTCATTATTTTTCGTTATTTTTCATTATAGTATTATTCATTATTTTTCATTATAGTCGCATGAATTAGTTGTGTGGGTTATTAGTGACTTGGAACTAAACCTTACTTTACGCCCAATGGATCGGGGGAGGGAAAAATGAAAGCGACCTCCTATGAGCGTAGTTTACAAACAATCGTTCGCCCAGAAAGGAATTTATTTTTCTTTTCTTTCTTTTTTTTTTAATTTTCATTATTTTTCATTATAGTCGCATGAATTAGTTGTATGGGTTATTAGCGACTTGGAACTAAACCTTACAATTCGTTGTAAAGGCTAGACCATCATAGAAGGTGTATTATTTCTTTACCCTTTAGGTTGTCAGTCGGGGAAGGACTTACGTTTAGTTGATACTGTCAATTGAACTTTGCACAAATCACAAATTGGTGAATCTTCTTTTCACATTAGTGGGTGGATTTTGTGATCCTTGAGATTACAACTTGGTATAGAAAAAAACAGCAATTGTCTTCTTAAAAAATTCATTTTTCATTGTTGTTGGCCACGATTTACACGAGGATTTCCATTCCAGTTATTCCAGTTTTATTCTGATTTTATTCAGAACGATCCGAAACGCGCAAAGACATTTGATCGCGCGAATTTTTGAATTTGTCGTTGAAAAATTCAAAATCTAAAGAGCGAAATTATCACGATGAAAACGAGAACCGTCTTTTTCAGGGACGTGCGTGTCAAACGTGACAAACACGAATCGTAAATCGTAGATCAATCCAAGTTCACTCGCTGCTGAATAGCTCGTTTGCCAGGACGTCGTTCCACAGATCGATGAATTCGCAATCGAAGACCGTACAACGTGTAATCGAGACCAATTTGCTAATGCTACTCCTGCTCCCTGTGAATGAAAACATCGATTGGAAGTGTAGAATTATCAACAGTCATTCATCGCGTCGCCTCAGTGTTATCATACCTATTTATATGTCACGAACGTTTAATAATTTCAATATATTTCAAATTTTCTTGTAGAAAAAAAAAAAGAAATTGGATAGTATACTTGGCGATTGTTGATTAATTCTTATTAAATCTAATCTAAAACCTTCGAAACTGTCCGGCAAAGGGACGCAAGTACGAACGAAACTTTCTGCAACGGGAGAACGTGCCAACATCGCGGTGAGAAATTACCTCTTCATCGTGCGATATGTACGTAGCGCATAGACGAGAAGAGTTTAAATTACACGGAAATATTGGATTACATGTGCCACGCGGTAATGCAACAGCGGCTGGACAATAGACGATTCTGTTAACACCAGACATCCCTATCTTTATTCCATCTGTATCTATATCTATATTATTTGTAGAGTTCGCTCGTGATATCATTCTGGAAAGTCTTGCAATTAAAGTGGAAACAAAAAAAAAAAAAAAAAACCAGATTAATCAGCCGTGAACCGTATTCCCGGATATATCCACGGATTTCTCGACAAAAATCCATTCTGATCTAATCTCGCGTAAGATGCGGAAGGATCTAGATATAGTTATCTAGGAAAAACTCGTGAAAACCTACTTTGATAGGTTTAATTAAAAAAAAAAGATCCCCTGAATAGTTTTTCTCTTTTCGTCGAGAAAAATTGAATGTCCATGGGGCGAACAAACTATTTTGTCGTTCAGACCAACTATTTTGTCATACTTGTATCCCGAACATGGACATTGGGCCGATCGATAACCTATGACACTGCCCGCTTAATTTCAATGGGTGCGTTCCAGGGGGAGCAACGTATAATTCGGGATTAGTCATCGCGGAATGAAATTCACGCACAAGGGATTAGCAACTTCATCGATCAACCTTGCCACCAAAACTCGGATGTAATTCACTGATTATCGGCTCGTTTAAAAAGGCCCATTGAATTATTGGTAAAACAACCGATTAATTATTAAAATAATGAAACTGCGATATCGACGATTTTCATTCGAATCGAGTTCTTATACGGGGAATGAAAGAATTATTAAGGAACGAAAGGAAAGAAAAATCGAGGTGCCACGGCATCGTCGTTCCATATAGCGTAGGCCAAAAATCATTTCCTACTGAAATAAATCCGTAATTTTAACTTTAATTTAAAATCAATGAAATTAGTTTTTCCTTGTATTTCGATATTTTATTCAAAAAAAAAAAAAAAAAAAAATGGGCGAGAAACTTTTGGCCCACCTTATACAAGCGCAGACTTTACGCGTGGATCTCACTATACGTGATAATTGGCAAGCTGCACGTGGAGATCAGCACGCACAGACACTGGCCAGTCGAGCTCCACGTGCAACCAACGAGTAAATTAACCTCAATTCTTTTACGTTCGCGACGTAAGAATTAATATAAGTGAATAATATAGTTGTGTGGTGATTCGGGCAAGTTTAGATGTTATAAATAAATCATTAGCGTGTTTGTCAAAGGCACAGTGTTCAATTCATTTACGTAACATGCAGTTCACATGCCACTTTACCTCGGTCGATTACTGTATCTAGCAATAAGTAACACAAATTACAGGTATAGGTGGTGCGCGCATAAATCAAGATCCTTCCGCGGAACGATCGTTGAACCAGTGTTCATCGGCCCTGACCGCCGCCAGTATCGCCAGTCTTTCTCGCGATTTTTCCATGAAAGCTTTACCATACGCGCGAGACGTATCCTTTTCGAATAGAACTGAACAACAAAAGTTCAATTATCAGTTGAGAATGTCTCAACTGATGTCAAACTCACACTGCTCACAAAAATTAAGGGATATTTCAAAATGAATATGAAGCGATAAAAAAAAAAAGAAGCATTTGATTTTTCTTTGTTAAACAAGAACAACTTTCTTTGACTTGTTGTTTGCTCTTCTGATGTTCTTGTTTAATAAAAAACAATTAAATTGTTCTTTTTTTTGTCGTTTCATATTCATTTTGAAATATCCCCTGATTTTTGTGAGCAGTATAATTAATATATTTCATAACATTTAAATCGATCGCTTTATCTTCTTTGCTTGCAATTTTAATCATAATACAAGTTGCCGTGTATCGTCAATAGTTTCAAATTCTTTCAAATCTGCTTTGAATTTACTTGACCTAGTTTTGGAAAAATCTCTTTCGATTCTCTGCATCCCAAATACAATTCTTTACTAAATAAAAGCTGCTCCACACTTTGTTTCCAACTGTCAGACAACAATTCACTGGATAAATACTTGTGACAATGATGCCAACGTTTCAAAATGTATTCTGTAGACGTGTATATATGTATTAAAAAGTCAACTATATGAGACAACATTGAGAAAGGCAATGAGATGACACATTGCGAGCAAATCGATCGTCGTCATGCTCAATTTTCTTTGTTTCAAATCACTGTTTTAAAACACCACAATTTCGAACACCCAAGCATACCAAGATAATTTGATGACTTTGCAGAATCATCGATTTCTTCGATTCTATTTCGAGTTGCGAATTTAGGACACAAACGACACAACTATAGAAATCTATCTCCATTATTATTCGAGCAATCGATTTTACGAGAAATTAGGAATTAATCGAGTTCGATTCTCTTGAGGACAAGAAAATTTCATTTCAGACTTTCTACTTGTGTTATATTTGCATTTTCTATCTCACAATCAGTTGTATAGCAAGTCTTAATATTGTCGGTACATGGCTAAAAAAAAAAATTACATTTTCGGTAAAATAGAGTTAGATCAATTTAGATTTTTTAGATTTCGATAAAAGACAAAAGATCTAACTATATACAGACAGGTATATGCACGTATACTTTAACGTTGCACTAAAATCGTTCGCTATATCAAAAAAAAAAAAAAAAAACAGAACGTTTCAACGAACAAAATAAAAAGTATATCGTGTATCTTCGACGGTGGTTACCCGTGCCACCGCAAATTCGCTGCTATACGTGCATGCATTTCCATAAAAATGCGGAGATCCGCTTTCTTTCCTGTTAGCCGCGGCCGGAACGCGATGCGGCGGCGCTGCGCTGTACACGTTACGCTCTCATGTTAATTCGCGGCAATAAAATCGGGTGTTAAAGACGGATGTACTCTCGTTTGTTCTCGTTTCGTCAACATTCCTCCATTCGTCTCTTGCGGTGTAATTTTGTAACTTTGTTCCATCAGACCGACGGATGGACAAGTCGCACGCAACGAAAAAAAAAACCCACGATTTACATCGTCATTTTTTATATAGAGATTCATTTCGCTCGTTAGGTAGGTCCACTCTTTTTTAAGAACAGAAACAGGTTTGGTTTTTTTTTTTTTTTTCTTTTTAACAGAATGTGGCGCAGCGGTCAGGGTTTTTTTTCTCGACTTCTGTCCCGGTACACGATATTACGTTACAGAGAGCTGCGGCTTACCGCATTTGCTCTGCTTTCGTTCCTGCCTTCGGTGCACCGGTATCCTAGCATTTTACGATAGCATAAAATGCAATTAAGCACGACGTCTATTATCAGCCTGCGGTCTGCGGAGTGTGCGCCTAGAGTTACCGACCGAGGAAAATTCGCCGCCACCTTCTATAGTACACTTCCTGTTGTACATTGCATCCGCTACGAGCGAGTTAATCCACGAATTTCGCAAATGTTTCATGAAACGTGACGCTACTCGCGCATCGTGAAAACTAATTATACATGTATATTGTACGAGCGCGCTTCTTCCATCAATTTGAATTTCCCGCGACACGATCGCCACTGAAATTAACTATCAAAATTCAATAAGTTCCGCTCTAGAACCTGTGCCTATGTGTAACCTATGCCTCTACGAATCCAATAAAATGTTTCATGTTTCACCAAACAATCGACTTTTTCCCTGCAACAACATAATAATTAATATCGATTGAAAAATTGAGAAATTCCATGGAATTTCGAAAATCGAAAGTAAAATATTTCCACCTTGCTACGATATGACAAAAAGAAAAAAATAATTCGCAAATTCTTCAGTAATGAACGAACTTTCTCTCTACGTACACATACGTATGTATATACGCACGGAATAAATACCTTAAACACACACAAAGCGACGAACGATAAAAGGTACTGAATTCGTTCGAGCCAGTCTCAAAGTACTCCAAAAAAAATCTCATAAAGATTTATAATCGAAATTTACAAAATTCACTTACGATTTTGCGCATACAATAGGTTGAAATAAATAACAGTTTGATTGATAAGAGTTGATTTAACCTTCCAAAGGCGCCGGAGAATTCAAATGACCCACAATATACATACATACATATTTACTCACTTTTTAAATACTTGTCTGATTATTCTGTTAAAATATATTTTCGGACGATACTACGCGGTATATCTATTTGTAAGTAGGGTGGGAATGTAAACTATGTATACACGTGAAATAATAAAGTATTCTTAAACAGAGATAACCGACTAACAATAGTTTGTAGTATTAAAGACAAATCTTCTCGTTGTATCCACATATTTGTTGCATATTTGATATTACATTTTCGTATTTGACATATTTCATTTGCGTATTTAAAGACATTGCAAGAGTGCAGCAACACTCGTAGTCTAGTAACAAAAAAGAAATCGAGACTGAAATTTGACTGTTGCAAGAACGTTAGGTTAAACATGCCCGGTATCCGAGGATTAATCGGTACAAGTGAAATGTCGCTGAGACAAATGAAGTTTCACTGTAATTCCTGAGAGCTCGAGATAAATTCCGCTTCGAGTAACACCAGATCTCTCGAGCCACACACACCGCGAAATTTTCGCTTTCGTCAGCCGATAAACAAACAGATATCGAATACGAGTATACATAAACTCACTGTAGGTATATACCGGCACGGAGAAACGTGGGGCTCGAAGTAGCAGGTAGCCGTCACAAGAACACCACTCGAGAGGAAAAGCCGGCTTCCGATCAGCTGGAAAAATTGTTCTCGTGACCGTTGATTTTGTTCGTTCGGACGCGCAGACTCGGGCCGGTTTCCCTCGCGTTCACAAAACGGATCCGTGCGATCACGATTGGCGGCCCCGTGTGTGTGTCCACAGAAAAGTACACAGAAACGAGAAAGGAATTTCCTCGGAGGTTTGAAACGGCGGGCGTGGCGATTCGCGACCGACTGGCAGACTGCCGACCACCGGATGTCGCCACCAGACCGTTGCCGATGACTCACGCCACCCTCGTCAGGCTCAAGGCTTGATTGGTCCTTTCGCAACCCCCACCCCTCGGTCTCGGTCATCGGACGGAAAACCTCCTCACCTCCTCCGGCCGGCGTGTTTACCGTCTGACGCTCGCGTTCGTTGCTCGGTTGCTCGATTGCTCGCTACCGAAAATACCGATCCGAGTGATCCGTGAAATCCTTCCACTTTCCAACTTTTTAGCTTGAACGAACAAAATCCCGCAACGATTGGATTCGACAATCTCTGGATCTTTTCATTTTCTCGACTCGATACATGTATCATCATTCGTGACTTTAGAAATGCTCCTTTAAGAATCACTTTCTATTTTGGCAACGAAATTGTACCTGTTGATAAGCACGTACGTAAATATTACCGACAGATACGGATTCTTGGGTTACAGCTGAATTTCTGCGTAAAGAGTATCGACAGTAATTTCAAATTATCCGTTTCGAGTACGCGAATCTTTCGATCACGTTCTTATACATACGTAATACTTTCGCAACTTTCAAGATAAACAGCATCGATTATTCAGAGTACACATACAAATTTGAAAGATCGTAGAGTGAATGGCGAGAAGTCGACAGTTTTGTGGGGCAAATGATAACCGGAACCGAAGAAGCCACGTATATTATACTCGGGTGGCTAGCATGGCTCATGCATATTGATACGCGCAATATTCAGGCAACTTTCGTCCATCCGCTGCCACCAGTGGATTAGCGTTCGACATTCTCGACGCGTTAGGGGAAATAATGCTGTTCCCTCGTGCCGCAAACCATGCGTCACACTGCCCCCCTTCGTCTTTCGATACACACATTTACCAGACCCTGTTATTTTTGCTCCCTCTACTCTCGCCATTGCTCATTGTTATTATAACGTTCCGTTTATTCCGCACCTATTTACATATGTATGGAGAGCCATACACGAGCGCGAAACACGTCATCCAGGGCGACAAGCTCTGTAAAATTTTGCGATCGCCACTTCCAATGTTCTCCACCGGCCGGATTAATAATAGAGCACCAGATTTAGAAAACATCCGATTACACTCTGTTGGTTCTCTCGTTTGAAAATTTTTAAAATTCTTCTCCTCCAAATTTTTAACCTTCTCGCTTTTAACGCTTTGCGTCTTTCTTCCGAATATTTTTTCCGACATTTGGCAAAACTAGATAAGACGACGTACGTTCGTGCACGCGATGACATCAGAGTCCATTCGAATTAAAATGCGAGTTTTTATCGATTATTAGATCTACAAACAAAAAAGGGTGTCAACGAGTAAGCGCCCCATCAATTACATTAGAAAGATGATATATTTGTCCGCGTTTCTAAGGGCGTGAAGCTCAAATTAATTAGCCTTTTAGTATGAATATGACAACTCGTGTTTCAATCTTGGCTCCTTTGTCTTGCAAATGGAAAGAGAAGGTTAAATTGTAGCAGTTATTTCTAGTCGAAGCACGTTTGTGTAAAAACAAAATTAATAACAATCCCTTGTTACTTGTTAAAATTTTCCACGAAAACTGTGCGCTAATTTCCGTTAAATAAAAAGATCAAGGACGAAAAACAAAAGGTTTGGTTTTTGTAGGACGCTGTGAATCATGACCACCGGTAAAGGAACTACTTTTGTTTTCTTTTTAATCGGCCGCGTAATTTATTATCGCAACGTAACGTCCACTAGGAGAATTCCAATGTCGAAATTTCATGTGGGTCACGTAACAAAAACAAAAAAAAAAAAAAAAACAAAAGTTTGA